GCTAATGAAGCTACTGCAATGCAATGGTGAGTGAAACGCATATTGTCCAGAGGTTTGTGTGTGTGTGTCCATGTATGTGTGTGCATGTTTGTGTATGTATACATGTGTAGGCATTGTGTGTATTTATGTGTTCATGGTCCATTTTGTCACTCACTTTCAACTCAGCAACCGCGAAAGCTAGGATATTGAGATTTTTGGAGTATATTCCCGCCTTCTATGCGATTGGTCCTTTTTAAAATCATCGTTCATGTACGTCTAGGTCTCACATAAGAACGCATCGAAAATCTTTGTGGCGAAAAAGCGGTTTAGGGATCTGACAAGCTCGAATGCTGTAATTTTGCAAGGATATTTTATGTCCAAATGCGAATTAAATATTTCAAATACAACTTTGGGGCACGCCTGCTTGCGACAAGCGCGGGTAAAGTTGGCAGGTTTGCTGTTGTCTAACACAGCGTTCACGCTGAGCAGGTAGCTGCAATTCTTTGATGATCTTTACTGTCCATGTGCGGGCCAGTAAGCATAAAATGAGTCATCCTTTCTCACATTTGCCATGCGCGCGGTCGCGTCAAATACAGAAACTGCAACACCTTTTTAGTCATTCTTTCTCGGCAGTTAGGCAGCCAAGAAAACTGAAATCTTAGATGATTGTTGGTGCATTTTGTGTATCAATAAAATCATAGATGTAGCTTCCACAAATGCCTATGCTTCGCGTGCGGAGGCGGCGTACTTCAGAATGCATTTTGCCGACAGAAAATGCAAGCAAAATTCAGGGTAATTGTACACGCTAAAGCCGAGTGCGCAGCCTCACCATACAACATTACTGTTCCAGTCGTTAGTCAACGCATCTTTCTCATTACATGCAGCAAAATATCAATCCAGGCTGGAATGCACTGGGCTTACTGGTGCGATCATACGCTTTTTGCATTGTACTTGAAGCAGTCAGGTCGTTAACTGTATAATGGTAGTTACTTCATAGTTACCTTGTGCGCTCACAATCGTAAGTTTTGATTAAAAGAAAATGAATAATTTCCGTTTGACGATTGTTCTTTGTTAAGGACCTGACTGTTCAGCCAGTAACTCCCCGCCAAAGCTTTCATGCGCCTGTACGTTATTTACCACATGTAGCTGAGGTTGTACGCAGACGGAGAAGATCCCCTTATAATTCCAGCTTTCCAACTTCTCTGGTTCCCGGCTAGTAAGCGTTTACTCAGCTGCCTAAATACGGAGAGCGCATAGTCTAGAAATTTTCGTCAGGTCTGAGGTAGAAATTTTTTTGTTCCGTCTCGATGTGGAGGAACGTTAGTGAACCGTTAGCGTAGTATGCTTATCCTGACCGTCAGCATAGTGTGTGTTTATGTGTATTTGTTTGTTTGTGTTCATGTGTATGTGTGTATATGTATGTTTACATGTTCTGTGCCACATGGCTCATGAACATAATTACTTTAGTGCAGCGATGTTTAAAGAGAAAAAACATTCAAAATTTGAGTATTTCTCTTTTGCAAAACTTTCGTTTTGGGCTTTATTCTTCTGGCTTATTTAATTTTTAAAACCATTTTAGCTTTTAGACTGTTCCTGCATCTGTCCTGTTGTATCTGGTGCACTTGTCTTAGTTCGCCTCAAATTGTCCATTCATTTTTTTGGGCTGAATGTTTTATTTTTGTGAGAGCGCAGAACGTGACGGTCCCTTTCGTCCTTAAATATGATGTGCTTTGATTGTGAAGAAATGCAATGAAATTGTTGAGGGATTCCGTGAGCCACGACAGAAGCCAACCAGTCGTTGCTGAAGAGGAATTGGTGTCAATGCTCGGACTGAATCGAAATACTGATAATGATGACGATGGTGCATTGTGGGAGGTATTGGCGGAACCAACCGCGACAACGACGACGACCTTGAAAGCTGCTGTACTGGTCGGCGGTGCACAGAAAGGTATTGGGAAACGAGTTTTCGATACTGTTAGATTACTACCGAAAAGGCAGTTTTTCAGTGTTTCTGAAAGAGAACTTCTGGCAAAAATTGCATCTCTTTTGAAATGCTCATTGCTGTCGTGGCACTTATTTCGCTTTATGCATTTTTTCTACTTTTACCCGTTCTTCTGATTGCATGCGCTGTGTCACGTTGTCCGTTACGTCTGTAATCTGCGCTCAATGCAGGA